ATGTCTTTATTAAGTTTTCACACCAACATTGTGGTTATTTAATAACTGAATTTGGTTGAAGCAGTAATTACGTCTCTATTGTTGTTTAGCAGATATTTCAGTGTTTCTCTCCACTGTGACGGGACAGCTCGGACCGCAGTGAGGAAACACTCAACACTTATATTGTTTTACTTGTTGTTGTTTGCCTCATCACTGTCAGTTTTGAACCATCTAAAAACGAGTGGGGAAAACGAAGGAACACCAACATTAAAGGGACAGTTCACCATTTTTGGATACATCTACACTGAAATAAATAGTAATAAATTAATATATAATAAATATGTTTTTGCTTCTTTAAAGAAACTTTTAAAAATGTACAGCCTGTAAAAATGATAATATTGAATATGTGGCTTTGCTGTCTTGAATGTCTCAGCATTAGTGTTCTTACCGTTTTCATGTCCTGTTGTTACTGCAGTCACAGTCAGAAGAAAGAGGCACAAAAATAAAAGCTGCAGAGTTTTTGTCTTAAAAACAGAAGAAAACATAACGCGGAGTAAAAACGTTCCTCTGTGCTGCGTCGATCACGCTACTGACGCTCAGCAGGAGATACTGTGGTCGAGTAAGTTTACGAAACAAGCCTGAGTCATGAGTGGGAGGAGTGTGTGTGTGTGTGTGTGTGTTCTGTTAAGCTTTGCATAAAAAACATCAACATGTTCAACAATCCAGGTAAATAAATGAATGAGTGCTGAACGACATAAATGCAAACTCATGAGTGAGAACTTCAGCTCTCACACTTACATGTATAAAGTGTTTAATATTAAACGTCAGTAAGAAGAAAACAGACATGTTTCAGCGCCGGTCCTTCCTCAGAGTTTCAAGAAACATGTGAACACACGTCTCCGGCTCTTGCTGTAAAAACCACAGATTACAGATTAATTCCTTCGAGGTCTGAACTCGTTTCTTTCCTGTTGACTCTGAGCTGTTTCCGTGTTCCTGACGTGGAAGCTACAGCGTGAACGACACCATAAACCTGTACCAGGAAGAAGGATCTGTGGCTTTCAGTGTTATGAAGCAGGTTCCCTTTTCACTGGTGCACATCACCATGGCAACATACACTGAAGACCTAACCTGGGGCAGGCTGGATGAGATCCAGAGATTATAGAGATCATAAAAAACAACAGCTTACTATGAAATCCTAGAAGGAGGGTCCAAAGACTTTCCTGAAGAGCATCAATTAAAAAAAAAAAAAATAAAATATTTTCAGACCTTTTCTCCTGTTAGCTGAAATTCTGTCTTCAGGCTAAACTGTATCACCAACACTCTTTTCCAGTTTTACTGACCAAAGCACTCAAAGCTCACACTCTGCTGCTTTTAACTTGTAATATAAATAACAGGAAAACCTTCATTTATCCCATATTTAGGAAATTTATTTATTTATTTTGTTTATTTTTGTTATCTCTTCATATTTTTCTAAAGTCATAGTTTTACTTGCTGTGTAAAATCAGTCGCTCTGCTATCAGTAGACCTGTCCGTGTCTGTGATTGGTCAGAGATTGTCAGTGACACTTCTTAACACACTTCTCTTTGATAAGTATTCAAATGTGACAGCAGAAACTGAGACTCATCAGTCCAGGCAACATTTTTGCAGTTTTCTATTGCCCAGTTTTGGTGAGTGTGTGTGCAGTCTCAGTTTTCTGTTCTTAGCTGACAGAGTGGCACTTAGTCTGGTCTTCTGCTGCTGTAGCCCAGCTTCTTCAAATACTTATATTCAGAGATGCTCTTCTGTAGTGATGGTGAGATGAAGCCTCATGATGAACTGAAGCTTTCCACCCAATTGGTCGACTCATGGTTCGAAGGATTGTGATGATTCATTTGCTCTACTGCGCCATCAAGTGGATGATTCAAGTGAAGCGTGCTCTGTGATTATAATGATGTGTAAACCTCTAAACTGAATAAATAAATTGTTTTCTTGGTTATTTATCCCAAATATTGTCTCAGTATGTGTGATACAAAAGAGAAAGTGGAAACTATCAGGACAGAGTTTTGGTATGATTGTGTAACTGTTAGCCTCAGACAGTCAGTCAATAGTATAATTCAGATCATAGATCAGTACATTTGCATATTTTTATAACTATAAAAAGAAAGCTGACACTTTCGAGACTTTATCTAATGTGTAAGCATCACAGCAGATGCCTTAGATTAGAATCAGTGAGCTGTCAGCTTTCAGCCCCGACCGTGTCCGTGCTGTCTGGTGAGAAAGGCGACATCTCACTGATTCTGATGCGTCGGCGCTTTGTGTTTACGTCTTTGTGCAGAATCGGTGTACCTGCTCTCATTTACTGTTTTAGCTGTTTGGTGGTGGTTGAAATGTAGTAATATTTATATTAAAAATCGATTCAGGATTTTAATGAATCGATATCACGTTACCCAAGCTAGAATCGATTTTAATCGATAATCAAAACCCGCTAGTACCTGTGTAATCATGTTTATGTACATCTGGATAATGACACAAACTAGTATTTGGCGCTTCACTTTTTAATAAACTAAAAGACAGAAGTCAGATTATAGGATCTGTAGTGTTGTTTATTTATATTATGGTGCTTATCATTTGTGATATTTATTACTGTGTGCATACTTTATTAGGAGAGATAACATAAAATAAAAAATCTCTTCCTTCCTGGTTCCATCGAAGAAGAAATGCTCAAGTAACTATGTAACACGTACGTAATCTAATTCCACAACACAGTGTGATGGGAAATCAGCTGTGTTTTTCTGCCCATTTTATTTCAAATCTGGCGCGAACCGGTGAACCAGTCCCTGAATCAGTCACATGGTACGGACTGCCCGCGAGGCCTCGAACGTCACTGCTACGTAATCAAAGCAAGCCTCGATACGCGCTTCACAGGAAACGCCCCCGAGATTACCCGACACACGATTCGACACTTCGATACACAGGACACATCACTACTCTTCTGCACACTTTGGTTGTAACAATAGGTTATTTTACTTCTTGTTGCCTTCCTAGCAGAGAAAGTTGCATAAATATTTTTTCTTCCTTATTCCGATGCTAGCTGTGAAAGTCAGCAGGTTGTCTTGACCATGCACATGCTTGACTGCATTGAGTTCCATGAAATGTAATTGGCTGAAATTTGCATTAACAAGTAGTTGAGGAGGTGTACCTAATAAAGTGGCCAGGAAGTGCACACTTTGTATGAGGTTCAACGAGATGTTTTTAAAATTCAAAACTGTTCAGTTAAAACGTAAAAATTGTAATTTTGCCTGCCTCCAGGTTTGACGCTATAATGCTTTAAAAAAAAAAAAAAACTGTCTGTGCAATGAGTTGAAAGTGAATGATTCATCTATTGTGGAGTAAGTACCACAGGATGGCGCACTTTAACTGTGTATGGTAAGGTCATGGATTGTAGTGATTCAGACAGCAAAAAACGACATGGCAAATGAACTGATTCTTATATGGGACTTTTCTACTCTCAAACGCAACACACAAGCACTGTCTTCTATGCTGTTAAGTGCCTACTAACTACCATTTACACTCTGATGGATGCCTATTGATGCATCGGAGAGCAACTTAGGTTCATATCTTGCTCATATATCTGGCATGCAGACTGGGGGGGAACCACCAACCTTCTGATCAGTAGATGACCTGCTCTACCTCCTGAGCCACAGCCAACCCAGCAGTGAAAGTTCCTCCAGTGTTTACTGTTATCTCAACTGTTGGTCACGAAACTGACTCACACTATTTTGTGGTAAAACAACAAACAAACTGTAGCTGCCCACTTGGAATTACCACTCGTGACGCAGAGAGCTTCGACTGATGCATCTTTATTCTCTCCTCTTTAAACCACCGACAATATGGCACCGTGAAAACTATAAAGATGCACAAACAAATACTATTAAACATTTAAGTAAAAAGTGCAGAAATGTTCACATTTTACTATAGAAAATTATTTTGATTAACTCAGATAGTGACATTGACATAAATCAATAGTTTTTAAACTATTTATGTTACAGCATTTAATAAAATGAATAAACGACAACCTTTCTGTCTCTTAAATACATAAACAATCATTTGCATCATTAAACCAACCTCTTTCTGCTTCCAAGGGTGCGAATCATGCTGAACCAGCTAGCCAACTTCCTCCATGCACATCTCTTAGCCAGTCTTTCCACACCACAAACAAATGACATGCATATACAATAAAAAACGAATTCAACCACATTAAGTAAACTTTCAAAGTTACAGCATGTGACAGATAAATAAAATACATAGTTTGCACGAGTATTTTCAAAAAATAAACGTTTTTACTCACTCTGAAGCAACGCGTTTGTGTCGTTTCACTGAGAACAGAACAGGAAGTCTGACACAAAGAGGAAGTGCTAAGGTACTCTTCAAAATAAAAGCGCAAAGTAAAGTGGCTTTGCCGGCATTTACACAAACTACTAATTAAACGGAACTTATTAAAGATGGGCAGCTACTCTAAACCAAAACTAGCCTCAAAGTTACATCAGTTTCAAAATAAAATAAATTATTGGCCTGTCTGGAGGCCTTATACCACTTAAAAATGTCTTTCTTTTCCTTGAGTATGAACTCCAAATTCAAGTATTTGTTTCAGTAAAGATGTTTTTACAGCTGATCAAATTTCACTGATTGGAGTATTGTGCCAAAGATGGTTAATTTTAGTTCAGCTCCACATCAGCCTGACTTTGTCATTTTTAAAATGAAAAAATAATACTGTTACTTTTTTAAATCTTTCTATTAAATTCTTGTCATCCTTTTCCTGTCTGTCCTTTTGTTTCTGCGATGTTCCACATTTGATGTTGACGTTATTTTTGTTGTTACCCAGCAGTTTGTAATAAAGGTCGTTCAGTGTGACGGGAGACTGCAGATTAAATTTAACATCCATCACTTTTTCTGTTTCTCTCTGTGATGATGGCAGATTAACAACAGTTAAAATGTTCCTCTAAGCATTTCCTCACTTTGCTGTACAACGCGCTGTTTTGTTTTGTTTTTTTTTTACTTTTGCTACTTCACACAGCTGCAAAAGTAATGGCTGCATGTATAATATAATAATATATGAGCGACTGTTTAGGCACCAATTCATTTTTCACTAAAATGACAAAAATTGTCATTATAAATTCTTTTACATGTTACTATGATGCTGTTATGATAGTTTTCAAACATTGATCAAAAAGATAAAAATTTTGAGAATGAAATCAAGGTTTATACACTTGAAAAATAAACCGATATATATTTCCAAGCAGAAAACACTTTCATTCTGAAAAGTCATAGAAGCCAACTGGCTGAACAGCGCCTTTAAAAAGACTTACTGTACAACAATTACTTACATGGCGTAATTTACATGACAGGCACAATGTTATGAGCACAAGCACAAGAAAAAGCGAATAGGTCAATACAAGTGCAATGTAAAAAACCCCCCCAAACATTCTTACATTTAAACAGTACAACTCTCTATGAGAATAGCATGTAATTACCGTATTTTTGGGACCATAAGAAGAACTGGATTATAAGGCGTATTAAGCGAAACAAAACAGTCAGATACATCAAACTTCACTCAACTCATTAATAGGCCAATCACAATCACATCCCTTTGGCGGGCTATGATTGTGATTGGCCCGTTCAGCACTTTGACTTTCTAACTAACTGACAACAACAAAATGTTTTTCTGTAATTTGCCAATGAACAGTGTGAAACAGCTGGGGAACAAACCACTTTATTTAGACCTTTTAATTCTTCTGGGCCTGTCTCAGAATCTGGTGCTGATGGATCTTCTGAGGATTTGTTTGCACTCCCAAGGCAGCCTGAAAACACATTTTCATGAAGTTAACTTTTAGATATTTTACAGAAATTATTTGCTATTCCAAAAACATTTTAATCTGATTCTTATTCAACACACACAGACAGAAACTGACTCAAAGTCTGTCTCTGAGGTTAGGGTGGCTCAGTGATTTAATTGCCAGGAATCAAAGAAAACCTGCAGCTAAACCTATAAAATTAAAAAGTTACTAAAGCAGAATAAATACAAAACGAGCAGAAAGCATCTAAAATCAGATTAGAATACTTTAAAAACCACATACGAGGACAATCCCAAAAGTAAGATCTCGAAAACAGTGGTGACGTAGAGAAACTGTACAGCTGTTGGCCACATTGTTGTAGTTGTTGCTTCCTCCACTCCCAAATAAGCATGCGCAGCTTTGCTGGGAAGCAGACCAGGAGTGACATGTTGAGCCGCATGTTCTCCTTAAATTGCTGGCTGTCTGAGTCATGTCCCAGAAATGATGAGGGCTTCATAGATAATTGGCAAACCTTCTGGAGGAAACCTGGTCTTGTTAGGAGAGA